GAGTATCACCTTGTGATTTGTGTGCTCAGAATAGACCTTAACTTTCTGTAACCCTTCACACTTGAAAGTCACATTCTAGACTAGATGAGAGGCTGTCCTTTCTACAATAAGGGAGTGATCTGTGGAATTATGGCCTTTTGTACTTTAGTGCCATTGTGAGGAGGAGGAGGAAAGGAACTTCTATAGCTGATCTCCAAGCACTGCTTTGCCAGAGCCTGCCATTGCTAAGGTTATAAAAACACTTTTATCCATGTTGTGACCACAGTCTGTAAGGTTACATAGACTGAAGCTGTACTGAGGAACTTTTTTCCTTCATGAAGACAGTGTCTTGATATATAAACCAAGCTGACCTTGAACTTGCTTTGACTTTGTAGTGCTGGAATTATAGACATGTGCCTAGTGGCACATGCCTTTAATCCCAGCCCTTGGGAGGCAGAGACAAGCGAATCTCTGTGTAAATTCAAGACCAGCCTGGTCTACAGAGAGATCTAGAACAGTCAGGGCTACACAGTGAAACCCTGTCTTGAAAAACAAAACAAAACAATAAAATAAAACAAAACAACCTATCTGCCTGCTATCTAACTTGCTTTGCCTTCAGTCAGGGCCTACTAAAAGACTGTAGGTGGCACATGCCTTTATTAATGTGCCTGGAGGCAGAAGCAGGCAGATCAAGACCAACCTTGCCAGCCAGTGCTATATATATATCTCAAAAACAAAACAAAAAAGACTAAATACTCTAAAAATCTTCCAATTTCTATCACTTCTGCAGATAATTGGGAGTTTTAGTAGTATAGTGAGTGAAGTGGTAGAGTGCTTTCCTAGCAAACATGAGGCTCTGTAACAGCTCCTCCAGCATTACAGAACTGAATAGACAGGCAAACTATCCAGCCTCATTTCCCTGGAGACGATTGTTCTGTCATCTGGCAGCTTTTTGTGGCGTCATGTGGGACTAGGAGCCTTGAAAATAAAATGCTACATGATTGTAACCTTCATATGAATAGTTTGACACCTTCTGAAGGAAATTGTGGAGGACAGTAAGAATCCAGCCTGTCTCTTACCTTAAGGAAGAATATTCTCCTAGTTTCTGCTTTCCACTTTCTCTGGGGGAAAACCAACAGATTTTTTTTTTTTTTGATTTTTCGAGACAGGGTTTCTCTGTATTGTTTTGGAGGCTGTCCTGGCACTCGCTCTGTAGACCAGGCTGGAAACCAACAGATTTTTAACTGAGACATACACTTAGTTTTGCCATTACTCGAAGACTGGAGACATTTCTTAACCATGTACAATTGCGATCTTTTTTCCCCCCTTGTGTTTTTTGTTGTTGTTCATTTGGTTTTTTTGTTTTGTTTTGTTTTGTTTTTAAGGTAGGGTCTCTCTGTGTAGCTCTGACTGTCCTAGAACTTGGTGTGTAGACCAGACTGGCCTCAAATTCAAAGATCCACCTGCCCCTGCCTTAGAGTTTCTGGAATAAAGGCATGCCTGGCTCCATAGGCAGTCTTAACGTAGTTTTCAGGGCCAGGCAACACCAGAATTGCTTATAGATACTGCGTCATAGAGTTCACTGAATGGTATACATCTCATCATTTTCGGGATCTGGCATTTTATAGATGAGAAATATAAGGTGGCTGCTTTTTAAATTCCATAAACAAGACACTGGGTGATTGTTTACTCTTTGGGAATACAGTTCTGGTCACAGTTTCTCTTAGCTTACTGGCAGGAGGGCTGACTGTGACACTTGGAATTCCCTGTGTCTTGTTTGACCAATGGGATATTGATAATGTATGAACATATCAGAAATGTGCAATGTTCCTCATTTGGGGCTTGGCCCTCATTTCTGTTCTCATAATAAAAAGATTCTTCCCCAAATAATCATTGCCACTTACAAGTCTCCAGACAGAACACATTTATAGTGACCTAACCCAAAGGTGACCAGAACCTGGAACAGGGTTACCCAGCCAGTATTAATATTAACCAACCAAACCACAGTCAACTAAATAACACATGAGTGTAAGGGTAAATGCTTATTGGAGTTTGTCTAGTAGCACTGTTCTGACAGTAGGCCACTTGCATAAATAAACCTAAAAAGCCAAGATTTCGTTAATATTACAGTTTTTTTCTTTTTTATCTATGTTAGTATAGACACATATTGCAAAGTCTGGTGATGTGCCTCTGTAGTTGGTCATTTTCCTGGATTGCATGAGGGCCTGAGTTTGAACTCTAGCATTCCCTACACACAGGTTTCAGAACTCAAAGCTTATTATATGACATAATGAACATGTATGTAAGCCTGGGTTAGCTGCTTTCAACCAGTGTAGCTTGCTTATTTACATTTTTTGGGGGACACACATTTTTATCCAATGGAGATTAAAGTATAGGTAATCCAGGCTAACCTGGAACTTACCACCCTCCAGGTTTACTTCTGTAGTGCTGGGATTACAGGCATGCACCACCATGCCCCGCTCTAGAGATGGCCTTTGCTTTATTTTAGGTGTGTTTCCCCTATACCTGAGTTGTTTTGTGTTGTTTTTGAGACAAGTTACGTTCTGTATTTCAGGCTGGTCTGGAAGTCACAATTTTCCTGTGTCAGCCTGTTTAGTGCAGGGTTTACAGTGTGTGCCACCGTCTGTGGGGAGATTTTTATCATAGAACGGTGTTGAGTTTTATCAGATGATGATTTGTCTTTCATCTAATAATGTGGTTCATCTTATCTCTAGGTTTATATATGTTGAATCATCTTTCCATCCTTGATATAAATCCCACTTGGTTGTGGCAGATAATTTTGTGAGGCATTTTTCTGTATATGTTCACCAGGGATATTTATTTACCATGAGTGAGTGAGTGAGTGAGTGAGTGAGTGTGTGTGTGTGTGTGTGTGTGTGTGTGTGTGTGTGTTTTGTTTTTTTAAAGACAGGGTTTCTCTGTGTTATAGCTCTGGCTGTCTGTTCTGAACTCACTTTGTAGACCAGGCTGGCCTTGAACTCACAGAGATCTGCCTGCCTCTGTCTCCCGAGTATTAGGATTAAAGGTGAGGTTTTTTTTTTTTTTTTTTAAGCACTCATTTTTGTGTATGTGTATGGGTGTGAGTGCTTGCCTGCCGCAGAAGGTCAGTTCTCTCCTTCCATCATGTGGGATGTGGAGACTGAACTCAGGTTATCAGGCATGGTGGGAGGTGCCTTTACCCAGCTACCACAGGTTTACTTACAGTGCTCTTGTCACGCTCTGGTGTCAGGCAATGCTAGCTCGTGCAATGAGTTTGAAACATTCCCTCTTAGTAGTTTTCAAAAGCATTTGAAAGATTGCTAAGATTGGCACCAGTTGTTCATTAAGTGTTTGGTAGCATTCTCCTAGTCTCTTGTCTCATTGTCTTCCTCTGGGCGCAAACTCAAATATTTATGAGCAAAATCCCACCCAGTCTGACAGCTCTGCTCTTGATTATGAATGTGATTAAATTTAAAGGTCACTCCACTCCTGGTCCCAGTGACCATTCCCAATAGGGCTTTCAGAATTCAGCCATTATGTAACATAAAGTGAATGGACATAAGCAAAGTCTGGGTTAGCTGCTTGCAACTGTAGCTTATTCGTGTTTTGTTGTTGTTGTTGGTTTGTTTGTTTTAGACAGGGTTTCTTTGTGTAGCTTTGGAGGCTGTCCTGGAACTGGCTCTGTAGACCAGGATGGCCTTGAACTCACAGAGATCCACCTGCTTAGGCTGGGATTAAAGGTGTGCACCACTACCGCCTGGCTGAAAATACAGCTCCAAAGGGAATAAGAGATAATTTGTTCTGAGGCCAGTATGGGTGAACATAAACAGGGATTCAGATTGCTCTGAATGTCATGTTGCAAGTAAAAATGGTCTCATAAACTTTATAGTCACAGCAAAAGACGGTTGTAAGTCAATGCATTAATGGGAAACATCGGTTGGGAAAGCAGGCGGACAAGTTAACAAAGCTTTGTGATTAGAGGGACTGGAGATAGTCCAACGTTATTGTGGCCCTAGGTCTGCTGCATTCCAGCTCTGCAATGAGGATGTCAATCAACCCATCTGCAGAATCTTCAGTGTAGGTGCAGCTTTTGCAGAGAAAACACCTATAAACCTGCCCTTGGAGGCTGAGTCAGGAAGACAGGGAATTCAAAGGCAACACTGGTCACATTAAAATGCTGATCTCAAAAACAGCAAAGGGGGAGGGGGAACCCACCACAAATAAAAATCTAAGCAAGGGAGAGCTGGTGCCTAGGAGTCTGTACCCATGCTTCAGGTACCTGCCTCTGCCTCATCAGCCCCACAGGCTTAAGTTTATGCTAAACTCTATCTAATGATTAACCCTGCTAAACAACCAATAACAACAACCAAAAAACCACACAGAGACACCAAAAGTAGCAAACTGGACATTAAGCAGTACCAGAGATGGCAAAAACTATAGTTACCAAACTATTCAAGCTCAATCATCATTGTGGCCTGTTACAAGTTTAGTCAGCCTGGTGGTAACCACACATGCCTTTAATCCAGCCCTCGGAAGGCAGAGTCGACTCCAAGACCAGCCTGAGTGGGTTCCAGAACAGCCAGGGCTACACAGAGAAATCCTGTCTTGAAAAGCAAACAAAAAACCAAAACAAAAAAGTCAGGTGTGGATTGTTTTTCCACTTTGTACTTCTGGAAGGGCCTTAACCTCCCTGACTCCCAGTTAGGACTGTGGGCAGCTGAGCTAACCCTGCAAGGCCACAATCTTACAAATATGTATGTTTATGTGGATAGCTCTTTTTCAGTTTTATTCCTTCCACCCACACGTGTATTTACTGCAGTATCACTTTTGCTGCATTAATGGTTGAGAGTGCATCACTGCTGCAGACAGAAATGTAGGTAAGTTTTTAACCAGCATGCTGTTAATTAAGTTGCTTATCTATTCATACTTGGCACTCTGCTCCCCATATCGGATGTTCCTTGTACCTTCCTTGAAGAAGTTGCCTTGTGTTTCATGACCTTATTCTTTGTTGTTCGTTACAGTGTGAGCCGCTGCCCCATGCTGTGTTGATGCTGGTCTGCCATGCTAGCCTGTCTACCAGGGCCAGGGGACCTGTCCTTTCAGCTTCTTTCTCACACGCAGATGAACACTGGACTTCAGAAATGTAAGTCATCCGGATTCCCACGGGAGGGTGTGTGCTTCTGTGTCTGTCCTGTGTGAGGACTGTCCCATCATCGCGTCTGTGATGCATTGCCCGTGACTTTTGATACTGCCAAGGTTTTCTTGATTGGAGGCTGCAGGGCAGCAGCCAGCCACAAAGGCCCTGTCTGTCAGATACTTTGGTGATGAGAGAAATCTCTCAAATCATTTGGTTCCCAGTGAGTATGAACTTGTTACTGACAGCTTCTGCTGCACAGCAAAGCTGTGTATGTGTACCCTAACCCTTCTTAGAAAGTCCCCTTGAACACCATGAGGAGCTGAAAGGAAACGCATTGTCCCTCTCACTTCTGTATCTGGAGTGACTGTGTACACTGTTGGTGAATCCTTGATCTCTGAATATGGTCTGCCATGCAAGCAGAGTTCTCCTTGGCTTTGCTGACAGCTCCCTGAGTCATTGTGACTTTTGCTCTCAGGAATAAAGAAGCTTTTCCCCCAGGGGTCAGGAGCTGGCTTCCTCAGTTTATCTGGGTGTGTTTATCTACCAGTGTACTGCCCACCTGATTAAACCTCTGACAACTGTTAGATTCCTGTCTTAATTGTATTCAATTAGAGCATTGTAATTCATACTTTTCTCTGATTCCTATTTCTGTCCATGCACTACATGATATACTACAGAAATACTCTTTATTTTTGACTCATTATCGCATGTATGTGTCTAAGTATAAAGACATCCCTGAATTTGGAATAAACCTTTTTAGAGTAAAAAGGGGGGCAGCTGGTGAGGCTATGGGAATTTTGTTTTTTTGAGACAGGGTTTCTCTGTATTGCTTTGAAAGCTGTCCTGGAACTTGCTCTGTAGACCACCAGGCTAGCCTCGAACTCACAGAGATCCGCCTGCCTCTGCCTCCTGAGTGCTGGGATTAAAGGCATGCGCCATCAATGGCCCAGCTGGGACTTTCTTTAATGCTATGCACTTTACCCGAGACCTTCATGGCAGCCATTAGCAAACTTCTTCCATGAATGCCAGAAAGCCAGTATTTTGAGCTTTGTGGGTCATAGTCTCTGTTGCATCTACTTAGCTCTTCTGTTGTAGATCAAAACCAGCCTTAGGCAACATTGAGACTGACTAGTGTAGTTTCATTTCAGTCATTTCCTACAAAAGCACACTACAGCTATACTTGGCGGGCAGGTCAATTATAGTTTGCTGTGATTGCATCAGCAGTTAAAAATAGTCTAACCTTAATGGTGTAAAGACAGCTCCTTGGAATGCTAACGCAGGAAGATCACAAGTTCAAGGCCATCCTAGGCAGTTTAGCTCTTGAACCCTGTATAAAAATAAAAATAGAGCTGGAATGGTGGTATACAAGTTTAATCCCAGCACTTGGGAGGCAGAGCAGGTATGTATCTGAGTTCGAGGCCAGCCTGGTATACAGAGCAAGTGCCAGACTGGTGAGGACCACACAGTGCAGTGACCCTGTCTCAGAAAAGTGAACAAAAAAGTAAAATTAATTGGAGATGAGGGTGTGGGCCACCAATACCTGGCCAAGATTTTTGTTTGAGACAGATTTTTTGTTGTTGGTTTTTTCCTTTTAGTTTTTGTTTTCTTGTTTGTTGTTTGTTGTTTTTTGAGGACCAACAAACTTTAGAACACAAAATTAATCCTTGATATAAACATTTTTTGATGTTTTTTTAAGACAGGGTTTCTCTGTGTAGCTCTGGCTGTCCTGGAACTTGCTTTGTAAACCAGACTGTCCTCGAATTCAAAGATTCTCCTGCCTCTGGCTCCTGAGTGCTGGGATTAAAGGCCGCCCACCATGCCCACTTTGAGACAGTCTTTCTTAAGTATCCCAAGCTATCCTTGAATATGGTAACCAAAGATGGCTTTGAGCTCCGGATTCTCCTGTAATCCCTGTATTGGGATTACAGGTGTGCATTACCATACCTGGCTAGCATACTTTTTAAAATTTTGATGTGTCCTGTGTGTCTATGTACCACTTGCATTCTTGATGCCCACAGAGACCAGAAGGGGCCATCAGATCCTCTAGAACTAGAGTAACTGATGGTTGTGAACTACCATGTGGATGCTGGGAATCAAACCTGATGCTATGGAGGAGCAGCTGGTGAACTTAACTACTGAGCCATCTTTCCAGCCCCTAGCATCAAGTTTTTTACCTCCTGTGGGCAGAGCCTTGGGAGAACCTGGAACAAATACCAAAATTACTTATTTCTTTAGATATCAGCATGCCCCCTAGTGGAAAGGCTTGGCAATTATGAATTTACTCAAAGATTAGATAAACTCAGTAATTACTAAAGTCTTTGGGAGCTTACTGTATTACAATTTGACTTTGGTTTTTTTTTTATGTTTTGGTTTTTTGTTTTGTTTTGTTTTTCGAGACAGGGTTTCTCTGTGTAGCTTTGGAGGCTCTCCTGGAACTCGCTCTGTAGACCAGGCTGGTCTTGAACTCACAGAGATACACCTGCCTCTGCCGCCATAGTGCTGGGATCAATATATATATATATATGTGTGTGTTTTGTTGATTTTGAGCTTCACTATGTTGTCCATGATGGTCTCAAACTCCTGAACAGTGATCCTTCTTCCCTAGCCTCCCAAGTAAGGAAACTACAGGTAGAGGTGGGTGGGTGTGTGCATGCATGTGCACATGCGCAGCTATATGGGTGCTAGGAATCAAACCCAGTCCAGGAAGAGCAGCCAGTGCTTTTAACCACTGAGCCATCTCTTCAGTCCTCACATTGATGCTTTCCTTCCACCCTGAGTTCCTGGAATCTAAATTAGGTTGCCAGGCTTGACACACAGTAAGAGCTTTACCTACTGGGCTTTACTGTCCCTATTCAATAATTCTACATGGGAGATTCCTTTCTTGCTCTTTTTTTTTTTTTCTTTAGTTTTCAGAGGTAGGCATTACTGTAACCCAGGCAGACCTAGAAGTCACTGTTGTGGTCTTACCTCAGCTGCTAGGGAGCAGAGTACAGTGGGAGTTATTGGATCCTTCTCTTTGCTTTCCTTTTACCTGGGATTTGCATATGTCACATGACTATCCATTGCTGGGCCAGAACTCTTGCCTGTGAGATTCCCAATCCTTCCATTTGTGGACTCCCAAGTTTTTGCCACACCTCAAGAAAAGGATAACCAAGGAGATCTCTAAAGAAAACTGGATTACGAGCCCTACACCCCCAACACTCAGAGACACTCAGTCCCTGAGACTAGACGACAATGCTGTCTGTCACAGTTAGCTCAGCTTGAAATCAGGGCTCTGCATTTGCTGCCTCCTCGATCAGTTTCTTTGTTCTGACTGGGTAGGCTCTGTAAAACCTGCTTTTCTTGAATAACTATAAACAGCCATGATTCATGTTCATACTACATTTTTCCTGTTTGAATCTCTTAATATTAGTTATTTTGTAACATATTAAAGCAGGTTTTGTTTCTGTTGACAAATGAATCACACTGAGTTTTCAGTTGTTAAATGGTGGAGCCATAGTTTGACTTCATAGAAGCTGCTTTTCTAACCACAGATTCCCAGTTCTCTACCCTGCTCTGTATCCATATTATAACCATACCAGCTATTTAAGTAAGTGTTTTCATTTTAGAAAAAGCTGAAGGATCTAGTGTCTGTGGTTAGAGGAATTTGTTAAGGAAGTGTAAGGTGCCAGCAAGCCTGTATGTATGGGTGGGGCACCATAAGAATACATTCACAGGTCAGGAGGTAGTGGTGGACACCTAATCCCAGGACTCAGGAGGCAGAGGCAGAGGAAGGCCAACGTGGTCTACAACATGAGTTCTAGGACAGCCATTGCTGCATAGAGAAACCCTATCTTGGAAAAAAGAATTTTTACAAAAAGCCAAGCATGATGGCACTGAAATTCCAGTACTTGGGGTGCTAAATCAGGAAGTGTGTGAATTCAAGTCCATTCAGAACTACACAGTGAGATCCAGTCTCCAAAAACCAAATAGGAAGCTGGGCATGGTGGCATGCCTCTGAAATTAAGCACTTGGGAGGCCATGCAAGAGAACCAGAAGTTCAAGAAGAGCCTGGTCTACATCATGAGGCCTTGGTTCAAAACATGGAAAATAAGTATGACCATGGTGATATAGGAAGTAGAGGCAGAAGGATTGGGATTTCAAGGTCAGCATGAGGTGCATGAGACTCAGAAAAAGAGGGAAAGAGGAGACGGAAAAGAAGAAGAAAAGGTATTAGTTGGTTTTTTGTTGTTGTTGTTGTTTTATGGGCCAGGCTTAATGGTTACTTCCAGTATGGGGAGCGAGTGGTATTTTATTCTGGAGTAAGAGGACATTCCTGTCAGTGTGCTCATCACTCAGATCTTCCTCAGCAGAAGCCCCAGTCCGCACCCTCCGTCCCTTCGTTCACTTCTCTTCTAATTCAACTGCCTTTTTCTACTGTAACTTCAGTAGAAGTCTTCAGCCTGTCTTCTTGCCGTGCTAGGGAAAATCCTGAGGACTGATAGTCACTGTGAACAGAGAACTTTTATTCAACAAGCCACTTCCGTGCCAGGTCTTCTACTTGGATTTCAAGTAGAGATGGTCGCTTAGCATGGAGATGAGGTTAGACAGAGAACTCAGAAGTAGATCTAAATTTTCTGTCTGACCTGAACAAAACCCGGCACTTCTGACTCCTGTTGCTCAGCTGAGTTCTAGTTGTTCATTTGGGTGACACTGTCCTGAGCACTCACCAGATGTGCTGTGTGTCTTCTAGGTAAGGCAGTGTGCTAGGAGCTAGCAACAGAGGGCCACTGTCTGTAGCAGCCTGATGAATACTCAGGCTTGCCAGCATTGGTTTTGTTTGTTTGTTTGTGGGTTTTTTGTTTTTTAACTTGGGCTCTCACTCTGCAGCCCAGGCTGGTCTGGAACTCAAGGCCAGCCTTCTGCTTCTGCCTCCCAACTGATAATTAGAGATAAGAACCCCCACAACCCAGCCAACTTGAACTTGGGACTCTTCTTTTTCTTTTCTTTTTTTTGAGGGGTGGGTGGGTAGGCGGGGTAAGTTTCAAGACAGGATTTCTCTGTGCTTTGGCTGTCCTGTAACTCACTCACTCAAAACCAGGCTGGCCTTGAACTCAGAGATCCACCTGCCTGACTGCTTAGATTAAAGGCATGTGCCACCACGCCTAGCAGAGTTCTTCAACCTTTAAATCTTGCAGTAAGTTAGGCTCTCAGTGGTGTGACTCACATCATAAATATACGCAGGGTGACTTGCCTTGGAAAAGCCCATTCTATGTTCAGCTATTTCTTATCTTTCCCCCTCCCCAACCCTTAGGCTTAAAACCCATATTGTAACATTTTAATAAATCTGCTCACTCTGCTTCATACTCACTTGTCCTAAAGTCCTTATCTGCAGTGAAGCCCAGGAATTCTGGGTTTACCTGAATAAAAATCCTTAAGGAGAAAGGGAGTTCTTCAGGCCACTGCCAGGGACGATGTAAAGCTATGCCTCTGTCCCTGCTGCTGCTAATGTCAACAGTAGCCAAATCTATGATTCAGGTGGCCTTTGAAGTTATGTTGTCTGGAGAGTTTCTGGGAACTCTTTTCTAAATGAGTTCACAGGGCTGCTGGCGTTAGGTACATTGGACAGGGTTAGAGGCTGCTGAGTTGGTGCTAACGACACCTCAGCTCTGGACTGCTGTTTGGAGCATGAGACCACACACTTCTCCTAGACTTGAACTTTTTCTTTCCCCGCTTCAGAGAACAGCAGTTTCTATGCAGTTCTTCTAACATGCTCCCATAAGTCTGCTTCTGTTCCGGTTGATGCCCACTGACATGACTTTGAATGGAGTCTCCTTTGGGTCAAGGCCAACCAAAGCTACCAGCTGGGCACTCAGTAGATTAGCCCTTGGTCTTTCCTGGCTACTCTCTGCCAAGGGAGGAAGCAGGGAGGGAGCCGACCAGCTGAGCCCAGGCTCCGTGCCAAGCCATTTTCCTTCTGCTTTGGGCAGTGTGTATACTTACTCATTCAACAAGTATTAATTACATACTTTTCGTGTGTGCTCAGGGTAGACCCCTTCTCTGAGAGAAGAAAACAGCAGAGATCCCTTGTAGGAGGGAGCCTGGCATGCTAAAAGAGCTCTTGTGGGAAATTTTTCTTTTTGAATTGGAAACCCAGTATCCGCTGGAGTCCCTTGACGGGAGGCACCCGGAGATGAGAACAAGGAGACTGTTAACATTAATGAGGCACACTGAGTGGGTATTCCTGCAGTCTCCAAAGGAAGGCAGTTTCTCCTCTTTCTTCTGGAAAGTGACAGACTGGATCATGTACAGACTGTTTTGGCACCCAGGACTTAGAGATGGTCTCAAGCTTTTCTTCTCAGTTCCTCCCTGCTGCTCTGTCATTTGTTGTCATCCTCCCTCCACACGGGCAAATAAACAAAGCCTTTTGATCTGCAACTAGTCAGGCACCAAACTGTAAACAAAAGTGAACTTGTGAGTGGGAGACGTTGGCAGCTTCCTCCTCTTCTCCTGAAAAAGTGTCTTGTTTTCTGTGCCAGATGGGGCTGTTCACCCATGACCATGGCACCCCAGCTCCTTCGCTGGCCACTGCAGACCCCAGTGTAGGGACTAAGTATGTCCCCCTTACCAATGTCATGACTGACTGAGGAGGGCGGCTCTGCTTAAAGCTTTTACCCTGTGCCATCATAGCGGGAGGAACTTGGAGCCCCAGGTACTGAAGAACTCACTCTTGGTGATGTCTGTGAGAACTGGCTGGAGCCTTGGGAAGCTGCTTTGCCATCTGATCTTTAGAGACCTATAAAACAGGCTTCCAGTCTGTGAGCCTCCTGTGGTAGCAGTGGTGAGGGCCATTGAGATAGCCTGCCCCTTAGTGCCTGCTTGCCCTGGCCTACTGTACATACTAGTGAGTTCCAGCTGTGCCTGTGATGTGGGGGCTGTGGCTGGATCTAGAGTGAAGGCTACAGATGACAGTCTCCTCCTCCCATGGCTTCAACAGGGGGTTCTAGAAAGGCTGGTTGGCTTGTCACTGATGAGCTCCCCTCCTCTCTGCTCTCCTTCCTTCTCCCTCTCTCCCTCTCTCTCTCTCTCTTTCTCTCTCTAGGGGACACTACACAGAAAATGAGAACTGCTCACTACCCTACCCCAGCCGAATTGGACGCGTATGCTAAGAAGGTCGCAAACAACCCACTGACTATAAAAATCTTCCCCAACAGTGTGAAGGTTCCCCAGCGGAAACACGTTCGTCGTACTGTGAACGGCCTCGACACATCAGCCCAGCGCTACAGCCCCTACCCGACTCAGGCTGCCACCAAGGCAGGCCTACTTGCCATTGTCAAAGTGCCAGCCAAAAGCATACTCAAGGACTTTGACGGCACCCGAGCCCGGTTCCTCCCTGAGGCCATCATGAACCCCCCAGTGGCGCCCTATGCTACTGTGGCACCCAGCACTTTAGCTCACCCCCAGGCCCAGGCTCTGGCCCGCCAGCAGGCCCTGCAGCATGCACAGACCCTGGCCCATGCCCCTCCCCAGACACTGCAACACCCTCAGGGTATACCACCACCACAGGCACTGTCTCACCCTCAGAGCCTCCAGCAGCCTCAGGGCCTGGGCCACCCTCAGCCGATGGCCCAAACCCAGGGCTTGGTCCACCCACAGGCCCTGACTCACCAGGGTCTCCAGCACCCCCCTAATCCCTTGCTGCATGGAGGCCGGAAGATGCCAGACTCAGATGCCCCCCCGAATGTGACCGTGTCTACCTCAACTATCCCCCTTTCAATGGCGGCCACCCTGCAACACAGCCAGCCCCCGGACCTGAGCAGCATCGTGCACCAGATCAACCAGTTTTGCCAGACGAGGGCAGGCATCAGCACTACCTCAGTGTGTGAGGGCCAGATCGCCAACCCCAGCCCCATTAGTCGTAGTCTGCTCATCAATGCAAGCACCCGGGTGTCGACCCACAGCGTCCCCACACCAATGCCTTCATGTGTGGTCAATCCCATGGAGCACACCCATGCGGCCACAGCCGCACTGCCTGCTGCAGGTCCTGTCAACCTGCCCACAGGCATCTCTCGAGCCCCCACTGGCTATCCTAGCGACCTCAAGCCAGTGACCTGGAACCAGCACCAGCTGGCCCACCTACAACAGATGTGCAGCGAGGCTGGTGGGACACCAGCTCCTGGCCTGACAGGCAAACATACAGCAGGACGCGAGTTGGCAGGGCCTGGTTTTGTGGGCAAGGCCCCTGCCTACCCGCAGGAACTCTGCCTGGCACAGTCCTTCCATCTGAAGCCTTCCCTGGAGAAGCCGACCCCATCCCCACCTGTCAACGGCCTACCAGCCCCACTGGCCTATCCTAATGGTCACTACTTCCAACCCCTGTGGAACAACATCCTACCAACTCCCAATAGCGACAGCTCTGGGTCTCAGGACCTTGCAATGCCGTTCCATGGTGGGCAGCCCACAGGTGCACCCCTCGACTGTGCGGCAGCTCCTGGGGCCCACTACCGAGCGGGAACTGGGGGTGGGCCAGTGGCAAGCCAGAACAGCTTGATGCAAACAGTGGATTACCTGAGTGGGGATTTCCAGCAGGCCTGCTTCCGAGAACAGAGCCTGGCCATGTTGAGCAAGGCTCACCGAGCCCCTGGCACCAGAGCCCCTGATCCCACAGATAGTCGAAATCTTCATATTCAGCACCCAGGGTATAGATAGGGAGCCGTGATGCCCTCTTCAGGCAACACGTCACACATCACCCTTCTAGGTTTAGTCTGAATTTTAAGTAACTGGATAGTTTCAAAGTCTCACTGCTCCAATGTGATCATCCTTAGATACCTACGGAAGGGAACTTGGCAGGGTCTATTTGGGGGCAGAAAAAGGTCCTTTATCCTTCCCTCAAGCAACTCTTGGTTTCCTGTGAGCCTAACCCTGTCCTCTCAGCCAGCTGCCTATCAGTCAGTCTCCACCTTGACCACTTGTTACTCTTGCCATCTTTTACTGAGACTGAGGTGTGGCTGAGGGGAGTGGCCTAGAGCCTTAAGTTGGGCTTCTCTGTCTGGGACTAAGAAGCCAGACTTTCTAAGTGCTCTGAAAGCTAATTTTTTATCCCCCCAAAGATGTCAAATAAACACAATTTCTGTCTTTCCCAGCTACTCCCATTCTTCAAGGCTTGGTTCTGCATTTATGTTGCTCCCAAGCCACTGTGTTCGTCCTTGCCAAAGCCTTGAGACTCAAAAAAAAAAACCTTTGCATTGGCATCTTGGTTCTTGACTCCCCTTCCAGAGAAATGCAGTGGCCATCTGCATTCTCAAGACCTCCTGTCACTGTTGCCTCTCTCCAAACTCAACTACTGTCCTCATCCCTGCCTCCCCTCCCCCTTAAGAAAGAAAAACAAACAAAAACTACCTTACTTGAAGAATTAATGATAGGTAAAGGATGATCACATTAGAGTTTGGAATTAAAAACACCAAAAAAGTTTTAAAAAAAAAAGGAAAGTTGAAATGCATTTGGTTATCTACACTGGCTAAGAATTAATGGTCCACACTGTAAGTTTTAAATGTCATGTTTCTGTATGAATGTGTGGGTTTGAGGAGCATTTTGTATGAGTGGCCCCACGGGTATCATCCACCCTTAACATTTTGCAGCCCTTCAGTTTAATGAAGAACAAAAAGAAAAACACAAAGCCTTAAGCTCTTTGAATTCTTCCTCTACCAAATGAGCATGGTCAGACCGCTATAGAGGGGCTCACATTGGAAACAGCCCCTCTTTCCCATTGCCCGTTCTCAGAGCACCTTCCACTTGTTCAAGGACCAATGTGTCTCATTCCCAAGTGGCAATTACTTGTCTAGAAATCCAACACTTCTCTGTAACTTTAGATTGTTTCGTTGTAAAATTTTGCACCTGTCTTCTGTTGCACAGTTGGGCTTTAAAAATAATAATAATGAGCCCTTGCCTTTCCTCGTCTTTGGGGAATGTGACGGTTTGGGGTTTATTCTCACTGTTCTTTAGCCAGAAATTCTGTAGTGATCTGAAGCAATGTGACTTAAGACCAGTTTTTAAATTATGTGTTGGCAAGTTGCCTTATATTTAAAAGAAGGAAAAAAAAAAAAGGAAAATTGCCTGAGTGTGTTATGCCAAATGATAGCAACATGAAGTCCTAATCTGTTGTTTCCCTGCTGTCTGTGAACACTGATATTATTGCCCTGTTCCCAAGCCCCTCAATTTCCGGTGCAGCCTCTTCCAAAGTGCTGACCACATCACCCAGGGCCCCTCCACTGGCCAACTTTCTGAGTCATGTGTAAGGAGCTTCGCTATCTCCTGTGACCTCACTTGCTTGACCTCTGATATATTCTTGTACCCCTCCTCAAATTCTCCCATGGGCTGCCACTGTAGGAAACTGGACCAGACGCTAACTTGGGGCCTTTCACACCTCACTCCCACATCTATTCTGCATGGAAAATGTACTGATTCCCTTACCCTACAAATGACTGCCCTCAACTTTGGTGTAAGACGTTTCCTAGTTCAACCTGATTGTCCTCCACCCAACCCCCAACCAGCAATAAGGGTCCAAACCAGGGCCTCATCTCCACACCTTGCCTCCAAAAGCCCCATGCCACCCCATGGGAATACCTGGGTTCCCCATTCTACTCGCATACTGTAGTATCTGTTCTCCATCTCTCACCTCACCTGTGGCGGTTTATGGGTGTGGGTTGGTTTTTTTGTTTTGTTTTTTTTTTTTAATTATAAACCAGTAAAACAGAAAACCTCCTCTTGACCTTGTCCTATTCGTTTAATGTGGTGAATGTGCCTGAGGTGGTTTTTGTCTTGAACACAATCTGTAATGTTTCCCTGAGTAAAAGGGGAATAGTTTATTTCTATGGTGGTGGCAATATCCTATTCATCCCTCAAAAACCCTCCCCAATTTATTATCCCAGACTGGAATATAGGGTGTGCATGCAGACAATCCAGTCAAGCCCTAGGTAGGGCCCAGCTGAGTTCTGCCATGCTCACTCCAAGGGCCTTCAGTCCTAAGAAGTGGGCATCTGTTGCCATAAAACCTCCAGCAAATTATAGACCTTCCTCGCACTTTATTTTTTCAGTCAGAGGTGAGAGTTTTGCTGTGATCCTAAACAAGGAAGCCACCTCACCCTAGTGGAATGTTAGAATTCTTGGATGGGGGTGGGGAGGTGTCAGTTACCTGCTTGGTTTTTACTGTTTGGGTTTTGCCTGCAATTTGATGGGAGGATCAGGGAAAGCTAGTCAGCAGGTGGGAAAATACATGGACTTCAGGCTACCCTTCACTTGGCACGCCCTTTTTTTTTCTTTTTTTTCTTTTTTTTTTGGTTTTTCGAGACAGGGTTTCTGTATTGTTTTGGAGGCTGGCCTTGAACTCACAGAGATCCGCCTGCCTCTGCCTCCCGAGTGCTGGGATTAAAGGCATGTGCCACCAACGCCCGGCTGGCACGCCCTTTTTCTTAAAGCATGTTGCTTCCCTCTATGTCTAGGCAAGTACTCTGGCAAATGAATCTAGTCTGCTGTCAGAGCTAACATGGTAGCGGTACTTAGGAGTCCACTTCATGCTCTGGTGTAGATCCTAGTCTGAACTCCACAGGCTTTTTTGACCACAGTTGGAATGAGAGACAGGCCCACCAGGTAGTGTGTCAATTGCAAAATGTTACAGCCTTCAGTCATGCAGTCATTTATCAGAGAAAGGCCAGCTTTAATCCAGTGCTGGAATGGTGGCTTAACCCATGTCTGCTAAAGCCAAAGGTTTGCTCTGCTTTCCAGGTTATGTCTAGGAAGCTGGTTGAATGAGGGACCATTTTGGCCTTCTCAACTAAGGTTCCATGACCCCCCAGATGAGCAAATAGAGTGAAACCACTAGGCTAGTGGAGAGCTAACCCACCATCATTATCTTCTTGCTTCACTTCCCTCTGTAGAACAACCCTTTATACCAGTCTTAGTGCTAGGCCATTAAGAGTGAGGTACTTCATGTTAACTGGCTCCTGTCATCAACCACATTCCAAGACCAAAACTGAGCAATTCATTTTCCCCTTAAGGGTAGTTAATCCCACAGAGCCAAGTAACTTGCCAAAAGCAAGCCCAAATTGGAGCTATATGCCTACGAATCCTAGTCATAAATTCACGGATTGAACATGTAGCTGAGTAGTTTGTTGCATGTACCAGGGACCTGCCCTAAACTAGCTGAAGGACCGGTGAAATGTATAGTCGAGGCGACCACTCAGTGAACTGCACAAGAAGGAATGGAAATAAGATTACAGGTGAGAAAGCCCAAGTGCTTTGTACATCTTAAAGGCCCCTTTGCTCCTGGAGTACAGACTAACATTAAGCCCTTAATACATCAGGCACATGCTGCCTCATTAACTCTTCACAAAGGTCCATTTATTCTAATGGAAAAAGCACAAGAAAGGCCTCAGGATGCAAGCAGTGGTGGTGTGCGCCTTTAATCCCAGCACTGGGAAGGCAGAGGTCTTGGAGATCAAGGCCAGCCTGATCTACAGAGCAAGTTCAAGGACAGCCAGGACTACACAGAGAAACCTGGTCGTTTTTTTGGTTTTTCAAGACAGGGTTTCTCTGTATTGTTTTGGATGCTGTCCTAGACCTCGCTCTGTAGACCAGGCTGGCCTTGAACTCAAGAGATCCACCTGCCTCTGCCTCCCGAATGCTGGGATTAAAGGTGTGTGCCACCAACACCTGGCAAGAAATTTGGTCTTAAATAAAAAGATGGCCTCCTTAGTGAAGTACTTATACAAACACAAGGACTTGAGTTTGGATTTCCAGTATCCATGTAAAACACTGGACACAACATTGCACACCTACACCCCACTGCTCAGGGCAAGGTCTTTGGAGCTCACTGGCCAACTAGCCTTACAGAATTGGTAAGCTCTAAAATTTTTGATCCTGACTCAAAAAGGTGGAGAGTTACTGAGGAAGACAATGGGCATGGACCTTTAGCCTGCATATGTATATATACATGGTAATTATTGGGGAAAAACCCAGCCCAAGCAGAGAGCTAGTCTTGAGTGAGGTAGGGTCTAGAGATGCCAGCCTTATGAGAAGCAGTCACTGCACCTATCCATCAAACCGCCAGAGGGCAGCTGTGGTGGCAGGCCCAAACAAAGCTTGTTGCAGTTCCCATACTGTCCACCAGGTGTCCAGCTACAAGCAGAGCAGCAGCTCATCCCCTTTTCTTCTGTTGGGCCCAGCCTCCCAAGCCCTAACCAACTGGGAGGAGACAGGCTGGAATCAAATTAATAAATACAATTCCGGATTTATTAAAAATCAAGAGTTGCCCTGCTGTTCCCTCCTAGCACTAAAGAAATAAATAACCAGAGAGGGTGACACTGGGTAAACGGAAGGAGACATTAATCTCAAGGCAGAATCTTATAACTAACCCTCCCTTTTCCAGTACCCCCCACCCCCACTATGGCTCTTGGGACATAGCACCTGAGCAGGTACCTCAGTCCAGGTAGAATGTGGCTGGCACCAAGGCATGTCTGCCATGCCCAGGAGGGGAGACAGGCCCTGGGATCACTTGTTTCCAGCCCTTGATAACCCAGAGACCTGCTCCCCCCAGGGGCCAGGGCTGAAGCACCAATTGGAGGCACCTGAGGGGTAGGTGTGGCGGTGGTAGGGAGAGGGTGGTGCGCTAACGACCGAGGCAAAAGATGAGAGGGGGTCCGGCCCCCTCTCCAGTTCCTGTCCCACCTCCCTTCCCGCTTAAGCCCAGAAGGGTCTACTCTCAGCTGAGGATCTTCCGGGGCAGTTCGACAGAGGCACGGATGAAGACTGCATCATCCCGCACATAATTTCGCTTCCGGATGTCCTGGTGGGAGATGAATTTGGGGTAGCCAAAACCCAGAGAACTTTCATCCAGGGAGCCTCGCCAAGTGCCTGGCTTTTGGAAGTTCTTCCAGTTTGGATCAGGGTGGAAGGTTTCCGTGACGTGCTGTGGCTTGGCCAGACCTGGGTCACTCTGATCCAATAGGGAGAAGGTGACCCGACGGGCAAAGGGCCACTCAAGCAGATTGTCAAAGGCGCCTGGTAACACACGGATGTAGATGGAGAGATGTGTGCCCTCACCACTGCCGTTACCATTGAGGAATGCAGACACCTGCAGCTTGTAGCCGTACTTATGTGTATAGAAGGCTGGACTGAAGCACTCCAGGTTAGGCTTGGCCTTGGCCTCCTGGAGACGCCGCCCATAGCTGCTGATCTTCCAGATGAGCACTCCATCACTGCCTATGGACAGCTCCTCCAGCTCTCTCCGCAGCTCCTGCAGCTCTTGCCGCTGCCGGCTCACCAGGGCGCACATCATAGCCAGATGTGGCTTTACACTCTCCTCCACGTGACGTGCCATTGCCAGCTTAGGGCACTGTTGGCAAAACCCAAGGCCATGGGGGAAGGAAAAAGTTACCAAAAGAGGAAGGTCCAGGGGAGAGAAGAAGCAGGTAGGGGTAGTAGGCACCCAATTCCACAGCACGATGACAGAGGGTGCTGGGAAGAAGCAGGAGTTGGCTAGCGGGACCCATCAAGGCCTCAGCTGTGCCAGCAAACCATCCTGTGTCTAGGACTTCAAGGGCGAAAGGGGGCCGGAGAAAGGGGCATCTCACCCTGTGCTTGCAGCCAGACTCTTTGAAAGGGCAGAGCACCAAGGCAGTGCTGCAGCTGTCCTTCAGATGGCCGGGCAGGTCCTCCCGAGCCACAGTGCCCACGCCACATTGGTTGGGGCAGGGAACAGGCAGCCGTGGGCACTGGTACTGATGGCTCTAAGACCAGAGACAGAGCAGTGGTCAATAACCTGACTCCTTGTTACCCAACCTCACAGCATACAGGTCAGTAAGGGCCTCACCTGGATGGTGTCAAAAACAAACTCCTTGGTACAGTAGGCACAAGGCTGGGTGCGCTTGGGGCACTCAGAAGTGGCATGCTGAGCCAACAGTCGCCTCATCATGCGGGCACCACACTTGTTCTCACAGTACACACTCTCTTGGGGGCACATGCCCTCGTGACTCTAAAAATAGCACAGGGGCTGAGTTAAGGGATGCCGGGCTCACAGGCACCTCAACCTCCCTTCACCTTCAACCTGAACCCACCTACCTCGTAGGCCTCCCCACTAAAGTCACAGCCACAGAATTCACACTTGAGGCGGCGCTTAGGGCAGTCGTGCTGCAAGTGAGCAGGCAGATCACGACGGCTCAGCTTGGCGGCACAGCGATTGGGGCAGGGCACTACATTGAAGCTGCAAGTGTTCAAGTGACCCTAGTGGGAGAGACTCAGTCAGCATCTGCGAGTCAGGGCCAGTCCCAGCTCTCCACCCGAGCCTCACCTGGAGATGGCGAAGTGGCCCGCTCCAGCGGCAGCCCTCCTCGCTGTGGATGCAGCGAATAGGCAAGCCTAACACCTGGACCTCTAGCTCCGGGTCTGGGTAGATCTGTGGGCAAAGAATGGGGGATCAGAGAGGATCAGAACCTTCTGTGGCCACATTCACCCTAACTCTCAGCTGAGCTGGCTGTGTCTGTAAGTCAGTAATTAACCTCTTGAGCACTGACCTCTCAGACTATTTGTCTTTGTGCTCTAGGATGAAGGACACAAGAGGTTGTATCTACTCTGACTTGGAAGCTAGGGTCCCCAACATGCCTGCACAGGAACATGCTCCCTTCAGGAGGGCACCCCATCACATCCTGCTCAGTCACAGGCTACCCCCCTCCCTGCACTTCCTTCCTCTTAGTGGAGGGGTCCTGGCCCCCAGCCACGGGTCTAACTCGCCACAGTAAGAAGAGGGAGCATTTTTTATGGGCACAGAGCAGCTCTGTGCACCCCTACAGGCTGGGCATTGTGCCTGTCCCTCAGGGCAAACAAGCCTTAGTTTGCAAACTGGCCTGGTGGGAGAGAACAGGCTACCTTTGTGGGGGCACAAGATCCTGAGGTCTGAGGTTGACACTGGCCCTGTGCCTGCTCAGGCTGCCAACAACTCTAGCCTCTACCAAGGGCAACAGTCTATATAACTATGTACCCAGGCTTCCAACCTAGCAGTGTGGACTCACCTTGGCATAGTCGAGAGGAAGCTGGTCCTCAGGGCATTTGAAGACTCCTTCACTGAAAGGGGAGAAGGCAGGGTCAAGGCTTCTCAAGCCTCACTCTCTCAACCAGGATAGCTACCCTCCCTTGCCAGGCCCCTTCCTAGCCAGCCATAGCTGAGACAGAGGTCAGAAGGAACCCACTCTTCAAGGGTGCTAGACTTCCCACAAAAGGTATTCTAAGTTCATCATAGACAGACACAGCTGCCTTGGGCAGCACTTACCCAACAGGTGGCAGCTGGCGTCCCCTCCCCCCGGGACAGCAGCTGGACTTGAAAGAAGCACGCAGCCTGCCACCCCCTTTTCTCAAAATGGTTTTTATTGGCTATTCTGAAAGCTGATGGGAGGGTGTACAAGGATGGTCTTGGATGAAATGCCAGGGTTACCCAGCCTCCATGACTATGCCAGGGCAAAGGTCATCTTGAGGCCACTTTATGCTATCCCGTCCTCTTCTGAGGATGTGTAAGTAAGGCCTGTGGCCTTGTGTTTACCCACGCCCACCTGGCCTTCACCATGTGCCTCTGAGAAGTTAGAATGCCCCTACTCAGAGACGAAACAAACAAAAACCCAGGCTCCCTAGTGAAGCAGCAGCTGGGGATGTCTGTCTGCGGCAGCTCCACATCTCAGACAGGCTCTAATAACAGACAAGGCTTCTGAAACTTGGCGACCCCAACCCCTGCCTGCTGTCCTGTCTGCACCCGAAACTGACACCCATAAGCCTAGCAGCATGCTTCTTCCTGCCAGTATGCCCTAGCTGACCACAACAAGACCTGTCACACAAGACTGTCATGGTCCAGGCAAGACAAGGGCTCACCTGGCAGGACAGAGGCCCCTAGGCATGGCATTCCTGGCAACCCTGCCGTGAAAGCACTTTCCAGAGTCTGGGCAGTCCACACCCCAGGTGCCCAGTCCACTCTAGCACCTCCCCTTGGCCCTGCTACTGCTGGCCATAGCCTGGATGCAAAGAATAATACATACCCAGGCACCAAACAGGTGTGCCTGCATCCACAGGGCAAGCAGCCTTTCTGGCTCAACCTGAGTAATAGCCTCCGCAGGAGTGGACCAAGGGGGAGGGGTCCACTTGGCTGCTTCAGGAATGTGCTGACCCAGTGGTTTTGGAGACAACAAGGGGACTAAAGCAAGTCCCTAGGCTTCAGACAGAGGCTTACCCTGCAGCTTGGGGCCCAGCCAGGACAAAGGTTTGGCCAAGGCTATGAACAACCTAACTGGGGGGGGGCAAGAGCATGTTCAACCACCGCTAGAGGCCACGGAACACTCGATCGATGGGGGAGGGGAAAAGGCAGAGGCTGCTCCTGGCTGAGCAGTGGAGGCCCAAGCCCAGGGGAGAAGACAGGATGGGGGGAGGGAGCGGTGGGAGAGGAAGAGGGGATTTCCGGGAGGAGGAGGGGCAGAGGAGCCTCGAGGGGACTGAGAAGGAGGAAAGGAGGAGGGAACTGAGCCTGACAGCCCCTCCTGGCTCCTTCCCCGGGGCAGTAAGGGTGGGTCAGCTGGAGGAGGGGGCTGGCTCAGCTGGCCTCATCTGGAAACCAGAGGGCCGGGAAGGGAGCTGAGGAGACAATGGGCCCGTGTGTCTGTAGAGGAGTTAAGTGTGTACATTGCAGGGAGGAGGGCCAGAGGGAGGAGGGAGGCGAAGGGAGGAGGGGGGCAGCACAGCAGCTTGAGCAGGAGCATATGTGAGAGCAGGAGCCCGCGGCCGCTAGGAACAAAAAACAAAGGGCCTGCTGAGATTTCCGCCAGCCAGGATCTTCGGAGGGGAACGGAGCACTGAGGCATAAGTCCCACACTGCTCTCCCTGCCAGGACCCCTTGGACCGCGGCTGACCCGACCTGCCGTGTGCTCTAGAGCACGACCCCACAGGCGTCGGGGCTCCCCAATCTCCCACACCGCGGCCCTCAGTGCAGGAGACTCGAGACCGCACAGGGTGCCCAGAGATGTGGCGGATGCCTGAGGCGGCAAGGCAGGACGTGGATCCTAACCAGCCCGGGGACAATTCCCCTTTCGCAGTGTACCCGACCATCCGTCATACTCAAGACCCCACAGAGGGTTCCCGGTGGAGAGGCGGGGAGGGCTGGTGACTGCACTCAGCCCGCGTTGGATTCCCAGCTAAGACCACCACGAACGTGTGACCCTAGGCAAATTGCAGCCTTTCTTTCAACCTCTGTGAGATGGGAGAACAATAGCGGCCGCTTTTTCAGCGTCACACAGAGTAAGGATGGACTGGTGAAAACTCCAGAGGCTGGCAGTGCCGCGCGGGAGAGGCTTTGTCCTTCCCTTCCCTAAAGGATTCAAAGTTCAAGGCTGCGGCCGCTCGGGCTCAGGTGGGGGGGAAGGGCGGGCCACGGGTCGGGAAGGGCGTCTTTCCCTGGGCCACCGCACGCGGAGACAGTCTTTCCCACCTGGAGCTGGGCAGGTAGGACCCGAGCGACCTCACGCCTGGTGCGTGGGGTCCTCCCCAGAGCCCTGACGTCACTGCCGCCCCTTGACATCATGGTGGGCGCTCCTGAGGTCACCGGGCGGCCGCGGAGACAAAGGCCCGACGTGTCTCCGGCGCGGGCCCTTCCCCGTGCAGTACCCCTCACTCCCGGCACCGCCGGCCAGGCCCACCGCCCCCGGGTCGCACCTGAGGAACTCCTGCAGGCAGGTGTCGCAGAAGCGGTGGCCGCAAGTAGACACCTGCACAGGCTCGCGCATGGGCTTCCCGCACAGTGGGCACAGCAGCCGCCGCTTGGGCTTCTCCAGGAACTTGTAGTCGAAGCCGGGCATGGCGGGCTGGCGGCGGGCACGGGCGAGCGGGGCCGGGCACGCGGCGGCCCCACAGCCCGCGCCTCGCTCCGGCCGTGTTCCCCGGCTGCGGGCGGCGCCGACTGGTGGCCGCGAGCGGCCCGGGTCCGCAGCCCCGCCCGCCGGAAGAGGGGGCGGAGCCGCGTCCCCACGGTCCTAGAGCCCGCCCTCGCACCCCGCCCACTCCACAACCCCTCTGACTGCGGTCGCTCTCGGGACTCTGCCCACGCTTCCAAAGTTAAGTCAGCCTCGCCCACCCCCGGAAGCTGGGGCTTCTCTTTCCCGTAGGAACTGAGAGCACGGCTAAGATTCTTCCAGAAGTGGGGGCTCCTTACGCTGTGATGGTGCCTGTCTGGTCGCACCACAAAGACTTGACTCTTTAGAGGCCACCTTAAGGTCTCCTGCCCCACAGACCGCCCAGGGACCCGTGGAATTAGCTTCCAGGTGCCAGGCACCGAAGCCTGGCAACAGGATCCGAGGAAACCCGGCTGGAGCAAGGAAACTGGGCTGGGCTCTGGGCCAGCGGAACCTTGGCCCCAGCCTCAGGCCTCTGACTGCGCCCACATTCCTCCGGTCGGCCGCTGCCCTACAACCACAGTCGGGCCCAACCCAGGCTTGGGGTGTCTGGAGGCCACCTCCATCCCAGAAGAGACCATATGCCAAGCAAGCATTTGATAATTTTATTGGCGCTATTTTCAAACCTTTGAGAAACTGGTCGAGTCTGGCCTGATACCTTTTTCCTCAGTCTAGGTCTGGGAAATGGCCTGGGGTAAGGGGCAACCTTCTGTAGGATCCCCCTCAGCAACCACACAATAGCTCCAGCACTCCCTCCCTGGGAGGTTGGGGAGGGGGGCTTCCAGAGGTTTATCAAACCCCTGCCTCAGGAATGACAGAAATGGGGACTCCCTCCGACCTATCAGCCTCAAGCTATGCAGAGATTAGGCAGGCCTAATGGCCAGTCCAAACAAGCCCTGGCTTGCCCTGCTCCAAAGCATGGCATCAGTCTCCACAAGGACACCACACGCCAGGGACTTCTTTCTAACCCGGCTTGGGGTGTGTGTGTGTATGTGCATGTGCTGTTAATTCCTGCCAGACTGGAGCCTGAAGACACTGAGTAAGATAAGGAGTTTGGGGCCGGGGCTTGGAGGAACACAGTGGCCTTCGGTGGCCTTCCCACCTCACTGGTGGTGTACACAATCCAGGACGCTGGAAATAGTGGTTCCTTAGGCACCTGCATTTTTCAAAGCACTCAGAGGTGGTCTGACTCCTGGTTAGTCCTGTTGCCTCAGGGGGGGACTGGTTCGTCAGTGACCGCTGGAGAATATAAAAAAGAAGCCCTGCAGCCCGTCTGGAGGTGATGCTTACAGCAGGCGTCACCCCCCTTTGATCTCATTGAGCCCTGGAGCTAAAACCGTCCCACCAGGCTAGAAATGGAGGCTTAATTTCAACTGGATCCAGGAAGTACTGGAAGAAATGATTCCAGTGAGGCCTGGAGAGCAGCAGGGCAGCTCTTGCTCACCCAGGCTGGATGCTTGGTGTTTTACACATCCCCTTCCTGTCCCCCACTGGTTCTGCTTTCACGTTTCTGGGGGCAGAAGGCTGCTGGGTAATTTGAGTTGTGACTCCTGAGGATGGAGTAAGGAGTAGAGGGGAGCTGGGTTAACCCTGGTCTGTGGGTGAGACAGGAAAAAAACTCACATCGAACAGCCAGGAGAGTGTTCCCATGGCAGCAGGACACTGAAGTCACCATGTAAGGAAGAGTCTCATCCAGCTGCACTGGCCTAGGGAGTCCAGCGTCCTCATCCCTCCTTCCCAGTCGACCTCGGGCTCCTTTGCCCCAAGAATACACTTCCCCTTCTGCCAAGAATTCAGAAGACAAGGGGCACAGCCTAAGCTAGCAGCCAAACACTGGACATAAAACTGACTCCAAAGGGAAGTCCTAAGAATCACCCACCACATGCTTGCCACGCCCACTCTCACCTGCCCCAATGGCTACAGTGAAGGCATCCCCACAGGCCACCATCACCATCTTGATGCCCTCTAGGCCTTGGACCCGACAGGGCGCCCTGCTGGCCCGGCGAGAACTGGTGCCCAATTGCCCGTGCTGATTGCTTCCAAAAGTATAGCAGTCACCAGAGGCTGTGGGGATGGGAAGAAAATGAAGGAAATGGTACTTGAACAGAAGTCTGGAGGAGGCCGGGTGAATCCCCCTTAGGCCTCCCAGGCCTGGGTCCTACTCACCAGTCACAGCAGCAGAATGAGCAGTGCCCAGGTCCACACACAGCAGGGGCTCCCGGTCCAGAGGTGCAGAGCCCAGTGGTGTGAAGCTCAGGGCCTCCTCCACTTGCTGGTGGGGATCAGGCTCCTCATCCAGGGATAGGTGATCCAAGCCTAGCTTGTTGAACCTAAGAATGAAGCCAGAAGCCAGAAGTTTGTATAGGCTGCCTGTCTCCCACTAGTCTCTGCTAGGATTGCTAGGATCCGTCCCACCAGGATACGGATCCTACCCTGAGTTGATCCAAATAGTAGTTTCGTCCCTCTTTAGTTCTGATCCTTGGAAAGAGGGACCCAATAAGGATTGAAATACTTTGTAGCTAAGGAGGGTAGAAAGGCAGCCTATTCCTTAAATGCCTCTACTTACCTGTTACTTCCACAGGCCAGAGCCCTGCCAGGCAAGGTGAGGATCATGGAAGAGTCAATACCACAAACAACTCTTTGAGCTTCCTGTCCTAGGGGCACAGGCACCTGCTGGGGGCAGCTATGGGACTCCCTGGTGCCTAATCCCAGCCTCCCTACAAGAAAAACAAAAACAAGAAGGGGTTAAGTTTGAACTTTAAAAGATGGTAATGCCAGGAAAAGAGGAGGAATGAAGACTGTTCTCAGCCTCAAATGCTTCTCTTAGGCCCTGCTGCTGGCTGACATCCTTTAAAGCCTTGCTTCTAATTCCAGCAGCAGTTGGGGGTGATGGAGCACACCTCTAACCAACCATAGCACTCAGGATGCTGACCCTGAAGGGCTACCATGAATATGAGGCAAGCCTGGGCTATAGTGAATTCCAGGCTAGCTGAAGCTACATAGCAAGGTTCTGTCTCAAAAAACAGGCCAGAGAGATGATGGCTCAGCTGGCTGCTCTTATAGATGACCCAAGTTCAAATCCCAGCACCCACATGGCAGCTCACAACTGTCTGCAACTCCAGTTTCAGGCAATCCAACATCCTCACACAGACAAAAACATGCAGGCAAAACACCAGTGCACATACAGAATAAATCATTTGAAAACAAAATTTTAGAACTCCTGACACTCAAAAGGCTGAGGCAAGCCAGGCATTGGTGGTACATGCCTTTAATCCCAGCACTCAGGAGGCAGATGCAGGCAGATCTCTGTGAATTCAAGGCCAGCCTGGTCTACAAGAGCTAGTTCCAGGACAGACTCCAAAGCCACAGAGAAACCGTCTTGAAAAACCAAAAAGAAAACCAAAAAACAAAAAAAGGGAGCTAGAGAGATGGCTCAGTGGTTAAGAGCACTGACTGTTCTTCCAGAGGTCCTGAGTTCAATTCCTAGCAACCACATGGTGGCTCACAACTGCCTTGAATGAGATCTGGTGCCCTCTGCTGCCATGCAGGTAGAAGATTGTATACATAATAAATAAAGTATTTTTTTAAAAACCACAACAATAACAGAAACCCAGGAAGGAAAGACTGGGCCATGGAGAGGAAGATGGGGAAGATGAGGAACAAACCATGATGGAGGAGGCTGTGAGAGGAACCCTAAAGGCTAGAGCTTGCTTACCACCATCTCCGCGGCCCCAGGCAAACAGTTCTCCATCTGTGGACAGGGCCAGGACATGAGAGGCACCACAAGCCACCTGTACCATCTCATAGCCCAGCAGGGCTTCCACGATGGTGGGCTGGAAAGAGAAAATAAGGTGATTGAGGCGTATCGGATTTGTCCCTCCCCTGCAAGCAGGAAGTTAGAAGCTGCAAATTCTCAGAAGGCTAACTGTCTCTTTAACACCAACCGCATACATTCACAGCATACAGACAGAGCAACAGGTGGGAAGCTTTTAGGGAAGCTGTCTGTACTTCCCCTGATCTGGCCCACAACAGGTGCAGCCCGGGAGCCAGTGGGACATGAGGCTCCTGGGAACTCCCCTGCCCCCAATCTGCTATCAGCTCTCAGAAGAGGGTTCCCTGCCATCCTCTCACTTCTCTTCAGGGTACATGTATCACCCACCTGGCTGATGTCAGTGAGGTTGCCATGGCCTAGACACCCATTGCTGCCACTGCCAAAGGTCATGATGATGCCTCGGTCTGGGGGAAACATAGAGGAGTACATCTGTATTTAGGGGAGTTTGGTTCACTTATGGTTGAAGAGGGAGATAATAATGGGAGCTAAGGAGGGCATAGTGGTGCATGCCTTTAATCCCAGCACTTGGGAGGTCCAGGCAGGCGGATCTCTATGAGTTCGAGGCCAGCCTGGTCTACAGAGTGAGTTCCATGACAGTCAAGGCTACATAGAAACACCCTGTCTCAAAACAAAAAAACAAAACACACACACACACACACACACACACACACACACACAAAACAACCAGGAGCTAATGCCTGGTGTGATGTCACCAGTCTGTTATTTGGGTTGAGGGAGAATTGCAAGTCTGGCTGGTCAAACTTAGTGAAACACTGCCTTAAAATAAAAAAGTAAAAGTAAGCAAAAACAGCCTAGAATGGTGGCACACACCTTTAATCACAGCACTCGGGAGGCAGAGGCAGGTGGATTTCTGTGAGTTCGAGATCAGCCTGGTCTACAAGAGCTAGTTCCAGGACAGCTTCCAAAGCCACAGAGAAACCCTGCCTCAAAAAATGCACACACACACACACACACTCAAACACACACACACACACACACACACACACACACACACACACACACACACACACACACACACACGGCTCCAGGACAGCCAATACTACATGACCATACCTTATCTCAAAAAAAAAAAGAAAAACCAACCTGGGATTGCAACTCAATAGTAGAATGCTTGCTCACCGTATACAATGTCCTCAGTTCAGTCTCCAGTGAAAGGGGAAATTGAAAGGGAGGAGGGAAGATACTGAAAAGGGGCTGGAAGGGCAGGATGGGGGGAAAGGCATAAGTGGTCTCCTTCCAATTTGTAATCTGGGATCTGTCAAATGGGGATACTACCACACGCTCACTGTGAGGCCTACTGTACCAGGAAAACGCGTTGGAGTCAGCAAATGTCAACCGCTAGCTACTAGATAGAAGCAGTAACCCATAAGGTGAGAGACACATTAATTGACTGATTTCGGATGAGACAAGTTGCACTGTCTAGCTTTCTCCTGTCTCCACAGAGAACTCCCCTGACAAGCTCACCAGTCAGGCAAGCCGTGAACAGGTCCCCGCAGGCCACATGCTTGATGGTCACACCCGACTGGCCCTCCAGGAAACGTGAGACGAACTGGGGCTGAGGCAGCTCCACTGCCCCTGGGAGGAGCGTGCCTCCGCCAGTGCCTAGGGGCGGGGCCTGCAGGGGAGTGGGCGGCGCCTGAGGATCCCGGTTCCACTTCGCGTCTCCCACCCTCACAGGAGCAAGCCTGCTGCCAACCTGACCTCCCACAGGATGAGGCGCCCAGAGCGTGTAACACCAGCCTTCTGCGTGCGCCCTGCGGACACCTGCACCACTTCAGTGTTGAGCATCGGGAGCCTCAGGGGGACGCTAAGTCCACCACCCCACGCGTACACCGAAGACAGTGGCGGTGGGATGGCCGGTCTCACAGGTCCCCGGGAAATACCTGCAAGTACCGTTTGGGGCCTGTTAAACTAGTGGAAACCGTAGGGAGACCCAAGAGCTCCAGTGGCTGGTCCCGACTCACTCACCCCTGCATCGGGCACTGGTGACCCTGCTCCCTGTGCTGCCAGGGGCCATGGGTGGTCCTGGGGCCAGGGACTTCTCTGCCCTGCAGAATACAGAAGGGCCTCATGACAAGTCCTGTCCCTGGCAGTCCTACGTGACTACATAATGAAGGGTTAGCTCTAGACCTCCTGTGTTCCCCCTGGGTGCCCTCCCCTGAGGCCCAGGGCCCATCTCCCTGCACAGGCCTCCGCATACGGACGCTGCCCACATCGCTGTGAAGGTTGAGGAGAGCCCGGATGCAGAGGGGTTGTGCCATGATGTGACTGAGGGGTGGCCGCTGTGCAGGCTCCAGGCTGAGCAGGCTCAGGACAAGATGGCGCAGCTCGGGGCTGTACCGGTCAGAGATGGGCGCAAAGGTGCCACTCATGATCTTCAGCACCAGGGCTGGCAGGTTCTGTGAAGGCGCCACATGTAGAGATGGCCAGAGTGCTGGGTTAGCCTCTCAGGTGGGGAGGGCAGTTCCCCCACTGAAGAAATAAAAACAGGTCTACCCTCAAGGCACCCAGTCTCATCAGAGAAGGCAGAATGGTAGGAGAGTCTAACCCCGCTTCAGAACTTCCTAGTCTGATAAGAAAGTTTAGCTACATCCTCAGAAATCCCAGGTGCTTTAGGAACCTCCAGGCTTGCTCTTGGGAATGTCTCTAATCTGATGGAAGAGTCAGGATGACATCCACTCCCTCAGGAATTCTCAGGCTAAAACAGGACTCAAGCCCTACCCTAGTCTGAGCTGAGCCAGGGAGAAGCACAGCCCTGCCCTGGGGTAACCCACCAGCAGGTGAGGGACTGACATGACTCAGTCAGTCAGCCACAAGAGAAGGGAACGCAGAAGTGGTCAGAGCCATGGCAAAGGAGTTCTGAGTCCCTGAGGGGTGCCTGTACTCACCGCAGCCTCAAAGGCTCTCTTGAGACTGGCCAGCTCATATAAGACACAGCCTAGAGCCCAGATGTCACTCTTCTGGTTGTAGGGCTTGCCCTCACACAGCTCAGGGGAGATGTAGCATGGAGTACCCACCACCTGCAGGAGGGAAGTCTGTATTACAGCCCTGGGAAGAGAGGAACAGAGGATAGTTTCTCAAAGCAGGCAGAGGGCTTTCTCTTGCAGGCCCACATAAGGGAAGAGGAAGAGGCAGGAATGAGAGTGAGCCTCGGCTACAGAGACCCTTGGTGTCCCCCGCACATCCAGAGGGCTTTCTCTTGCAGGCCCACATAAGGGAAGAGGAAGAGGCAGGAATGAGAGTGAGCCTCGGCTACAGAAACCCTCAGTGTCCCCCCGCACATCCAGGCACCGTGTAGGCCTTGCTCTTGCTGCTGAGGATCTTAGAGATGCCGAAGTCACCGATCTTGACGATCATGCGGTGTTTGTCGAGAAGGATGTTCTGGGTCTTGAGGTCCCGATGCAGGATGAGGTGCGTGTGCACGTGGTGCAGGGCAAGCAGGATCTGTACGAAGAAGTGGAGGATGGTCTCCTCCTCCAGCAGGGAATTGCAGCGCTTCTGGATGAACTCGGCCAGGGTGCCACCTGTGGCCCAGAGAACTAACCAAGAGCTGGACTTTTCCACACCGGGAACAACCCACTGCTTTAACACAACAGGACGCTGGGACCAGAGAGGGCAAGGAGCCCGCTGAGGTCACACGAGTGGGGCCACAACTCTATACCTCTGCCCTTCAGCCAACTCTGCCCCAGAGGGGCACCACCTGATGGTGTCCAGCTCTCCTGGGAGGGAAAGGTTCTCTAGCTGAGGCAAGGCATCTGGCCTACCTGGTGCATACTCCATGGCGATCATGAGGGCCTTGTCCTCTAGGAAGTTCTCGTAATACTCGATGACGTTGGGGTGGCTGAGCAGCTTGAGCACCTGGCACTCGTTCTGTGCCGCTTGCCGCTCCTCCTTGGTCATCTGCTCCACGGGGATCTGCTTGATGATCACCAGCTTCTGGTCAGCCTTGCGGAGACACAGGTGCACAATCCTAGGGGCACAGAGCAGGAGCCAGCGAAGCTTAGGGCAGCCTGTACACCACATGCTCTTTTGACGTTTGAGCTCTGCGTGGCAGAGGCTGCAGAGGAACCTGGGGGCCACGGCCAGTCTGACAAGACCCCAGCTCAAGAACAAGAAAGGTCTAGAGAGATGGTTCAGCACCCAGATCAGTAGGCTCAAAACCACCTGTGACTCCAGCTTCAGAGGATCTGATGGCCTCTTCTGGGCTCCACAGGTGGCATTCACTCACACAGAAAATTTAAATATTAAAAATAAACCTTGGGCTGGAGGGATGGTTTTCCAGAGGGCCCAGGTTTGGATCCCAAGACCTACATGGCCGCTCACAACTGTCTGAAATTCCAGTCCAGGTGATCCAACTCCATCTTCTGGCCTTTGCAGGTACTCCATGAGGATGGTGAATATGCATATATGCATACAAAATACTTATACACATGATATCTCAGGCTGGGAGTTGGTGGTGTACGTCTTTAACCCCAGCATTCTGGAGACGGAGACAGGCGGATCTCTGAATTTGAGGCCAACTTAGCCTACGGAGCTAGTTCTAGGAGAGCCAAAGGCCAAAGCCATATGGCTACATAAAGAAACTCCATCTCAAAGACAAACAAAAACAAAAACTCTTAAAATAAATAAATAGTGGTGGTGGTGGTGCATGTATGTAATCCTAGCACTCTAGGAGACAGACAGACAGACAAGAGGAAATGGATTCAGGATTTCAAGACCATCTTTAGCCACATAGCCTGAGGTTCATGAGAACCTGTCTCCAAACAAGGCCAGTGAGCTGACTCAGGTAAAAAGGTGCTTACTGACCAAGCCTCATTATCCCAAACCCACCCATTTGGTATGAATCAATCACCACAAGTTGCCTTCTGATCTCTACACATGAATGAAAGGACACACCACTCAGCATTGTGGTGTACACCTTTAATCCCATCACTGGGGAGGCAGAGGCAGGCGGATCTCTGTGAGTTCAAGGCTAGCCTGGTCTACAGAGTGAGTTCCAGGACAGTCTCCAAAATAATACAGAAAAACCTTGTCTCAAAAAAACAAAAAAACGCCAGGCGTTGGTGGCGCACGCCTTTAATCCCAGCACTCGGGAAGCAGAGGCAGGTGGATCTCTGTGAGTTCGAGGCCAGCCTGGTCTACAGAGCGAGTTCCAGGACAGCCTCCAAAGCCATAGAGAAACCCTGTCTCGAAAAAACAAAAAAAAACAAAAAAACGCCGGGCGGTGGTGGTGCACACCTTTAATCCCAGCACTCGGGAGGCAGAGGCAGGCGGATCTCTGTGAGTTCCAGACCAGCCTGGTCTACAAGAGCTAGTTCCAGGACAGTCTCCAAAGCCACAGAGAAACCCTGTCTCAAAAAAACCAAAAAAAACAAAACAAACAAACAAACAAACAAAAAAAACGCTGGGCATTGGTGGCCCATGCCTTTAATCCCAGCATTTGGGAGGCAGAGGCAGGCGGATCTCTGTGAGTTCGAGGCCAGCCTGGTCTACGGAGAGAGTTCCAGGACAGCCTCCAAAGCCATAGAGAAACCCTGTCTCAAAAAAACCAAAAACAAACAACAGGACAACAAGCTGGGTAGTGATGGCTCAAATACCTTTAGTCCCAGAACTTCAGGAGGCAGAGGCAGACAGATCTCCAAGTTCAAGTCCAACCTGGTCTACACAATGAGTTCCAATACAGCCAGGGCTACACAGAGAAACCCTATCTCAAAAAAACAAAACAGAACAAAAAGTGTCCCCTGCCCTTGTAAAACTGTCCCCTTCACTCCCATCACTTTTAGATCTAAACTACAGGAGTCATAGTGACACTTGGTTTAGTTTCCTAGTACTGGGGATCAAATCCAGCACCATATAACACTGGGCTACAGCCCCAACCTGAGAATGTCCTTGTAAAATCTACATGGATTGTATTAGGTCACTCCGTTGCTTTGTTTTTTTTCCAGAGACACAATCTCATATAGCCCAGGCTGACCTTGAACTTGCTATGAAACACACACATTTAGTTGAAGACCTTGAAATTCCTATCCCTGCTGGGCGTTGGTGGCCCACACCTTTAATCCCAGCACTCGGGAGGCAGACGCAGGCGGATCTCTGTGAGTTAGAGGCCAGCCTGGTCTACAGAGTGAGTTCCAGGACAGCCTCCAAAGCAATACAGAGACACCCTGTCTCAAAAAAAAAAAAAGAAAAAAAATCCTATCCTCAGGCTCGTGCCTCCACCAATGGTGCTGGGATTACAGGTATGGGTCACCACACCCCAGTCCAGTTTTAAAACTCTTCCCTGGTTTGAGGGGAAGCTCTAGGATACTGTGAGTTCAATCCCTAGCACGAACAAGAACAAAAAATCCCTCTCACCTTTATACTTCAAATCAACTTCACCTCTTACTTCAATTTACAAGATCATAATCTGGCCCCGCCCTCCATGACAATCACATTCTTTGCCTCGCCCACTACATTCCAACTAAACCAGTCTTTTTCTCAGTTTTTTGAATGCTAAGTGTATTTTCCTGTTGAGGAGCTTTGCAAATGCTGCTTCATCTGCTAGAACTCTGCCTGTCCTAATTTCTTCAAGTCTTGACTTTACATCTCACCTCTTAGAAAATTCTTCCTTTCCTGGTGACTCCTTAAATTGCCTTTTGGTACATAGAAATTAAACCCAAGCATGCTAGGCGGGAGCTCTACCGCTGATACACCTCCTCAGTTCCCCTCTTTTCTTTCTATAAAATTTGAGATGGATAGCACTGAGTTGCCCAGGCTGGCCTTCAGCTAGTTATGTAGTTCAGGCCTGCCCAGCATGTACCATAAAAACTAGCTTGCTGTTTTTATTTTTCTCTTTTGGAGACAATCTCTATGTAGACCAAGTTGGCCTCGAATTCACAACAATGCTCTTATATCTGCTACCAAGTACTGGAATTACAGGCATATGCCATCCCATCTGGTGCACGGCCTCTTAATAACCGTCCATAACTGTTCAAACTTCATTAACTGTTTATACAATATCTTGTTTATTTGTATCAATTTCCTATGGGCTGAGTAGGTAAAGGGGAAGTACCACGTCTGTTTTGGTCATAACTGTATATATACTCTGGGCAGTCTGATCTGTGCAGCTAACGCTCATCAGTTGCAGCAAAGAACAAGCAACCAGTGGGAAGAACTATTTTCCGAGAGCACAGGCTGGTCTGGTTGGTGTGATTTCTACAGGGGCGGGGCCCCCGCCTAGACCTAAGGACTGGCTGTCTGGGCGGGGCATCCCGGAGGGGCGCTCTCGCTTTGGGGCGGGGCCAACAGGACCAGGATTTCTTGATCAGATTGGGGTTTGTTTTCTTTGTCCCCTAGTATTTCCTCCCCAAAGCCCTGGCTCACCCGAAGGCACCTCTTCCCACCACACGAATCCGCTCGTACTTCTCCATCTCATGTCTCAGATACGCGGCTGGAATTCCCGTGCGGCGCGTGCGCGGACCCGCCCATCCGGGAGCTCCGCCTCTTATCAGTAGGACTTTCGCAGGGCGGAGCCGCGGGAACGGGTGCGTGTGTTAACCCCGCGCCTTTTCCTTTACAGAGGTCTTTCCCCAACGGCCCTGCCCCCAACGAGGGGTACGAGAATAGACATTGCGGGTTTCTTGGCGAGTCTCTCAGTGCTTAGCACAGTACAACCACTTTGCACACGCGTAACTTGGCATAGGTCGTTAGACTGGAGCGACGCGTGGCTCACTTAAGTTGCCCCGAGCGAACAAGATTGTGCCCCAAAGGCCGAATGGGAATGGGAGGCGAGGGCCCAGTCCCGGCTGCCTAGGCGTGGCACTACTTCGGAATCAGCCACGATTCCCTTCTGGCACGTAAAGGATAGACCGAGAGCGTGCTGTATGGGGCGGGAAGCGGGGGTTGTTTGGTGTTTGCCAAGGGAGAAGCCGGGAAAACCCCAGAGGGACAAACTGATTCACCTGAGAGTACGTGACGTGGTCACCTGGTTGTCACAAGTACTCAGCACCGCGCTCTCGGCTTTTCAGAATCCCGAACAAAACGCTGCCGCAAGGGGACCCAGTCCTCGGTGCTCGTCTCGAACCTCTTGGGGGTGAGATGGGAATGGAAGTAAACCTCTACCCGAAAGTGTCAGGGTGGGGGAAAACCCGAGAGGGTTCTACGCTTCTGTCCAGAAATGGTAGGCTGGCTAGTATCACTGCTAGGGTTTCGACTGGGGTCAGTTTAATCCTTATTCATGCCACCGCTGCTCTAAGGGAGATATAAAACCCTAGTATTCAGGAGGTGGTCGTTAGCTAAGGGTTAACGTCCCTATTTCTGAATGGGTGAGGAAGGCGTGGGAAGGGATGTTTATCTTTTGTTCCCGCCCCGCCCCAAACTAGCCTACGTGGAAAGACTGGAGGGAACCTGCGGTCACTGGCTCAGGCCGGAGTCCGCTGGTAGATAGGCTTTCTAGTGAGCGAGCTGGGAACTTGGGAGCACAAAAGGGGGTAAACAGCTCACCCAAGACATCAGATCGTGCTGTCACTTAGTAACTGACTGGGCCTTGAGTGACCCTGGAGCCCCATGGGGGTTAATGTGTAACCCTGGAACCAGCAGGGGAGACAGCAAACACCCAAAAGGCTTTGGTCCCTGGGTGTCCGAGCTTGGGTTTCTAGTTTTTTCCTTTTGAAACAGGTCCTCTAGTCCCCACTTTCTGCTCGCGTCCTTCACTTCCAGCTCCCTAAAGTACACCTCTTCACTTCCCGCACCAGCTTAAGGCTGCTGCTTTCCCTCCGGGTCTGCTTCTCTCGCTCCGCAGAACGGCCTTACTCATTGTGAGGCGGATTGGAGCCCGCACCACAGTGAGGACAGGATGACACCTAGTGGCCAGAAGTCGCAATTGCACCAGGCCACTGCCGTGGAGCGAGGGTCACCCCAGCTGTCTCGGCAAATCCGCAGCCTTCCCCGCCCCAGCTTCCAAGGAGCCAGGAGAGGGTTGGGACTGTCTGAGGGAGGACTGTGACAGCCGCTAGGCTCCAGGAGTCCAAGAGGGGTAGGGAGGAGAGGTGTGATGATGGGTGACTCAACAGTTCCTAAGCACCATTCGTGCGGGGCGCGGGAGAGGCAGGGAAACACGTCGGTCTAGGTCCTGGAGAGGAATCGAGTCTGGGCGGAGCCTTGATCCGAGGCATCGCTCCCGATCCCCCAGGACCAGGATTTAACCGACTCCGGTGTGTGATGCTCCCGCCCTGAAAAGAGTTGAGAGGAGCGTTTTCGAGGTACCCGCCCAGGGCGTGGGAGCCGGAGGCCGTAGAGAAAGTGAGGATGTATGTTCGGCTGTCGGGAGGCGCCAGAGAGGGGTGCCTCGGCGACGATGGCGGGGGCCACCCCTTCGCGCTCGGAGTCGGCGGGATCCGGGCGGGGCCCCGGGGGACACGGGGCTCGCGCCCTCCGCGCGGCAGAGGCGTCCGAGGGGCGGGGGCAGGCGGCGGGGCGGGGCGGGGGCGCGGGCGGCAGGGGCGGGCAGAGGCCTCGCCGGGAGCGCGGGGAGGAGCGAAGGGGCCTTGAGGGCTCCGCGAAACTGTGGGTCTGGCGGCCCGCGGCAGAGGCGATCGTGGCTCCCTGGCCGGAGACTGAGTAGTGTTCCCAGAACTGCCGGAGTCGGCCTAAAGGGCGGACAGACAGACGGCAGGGAGGGCCAGCATGCACCTACTGTTGCACCCCGCCTGGCCGCTGCTCCTGGGCGCCACACTGACCTTCCGGGCACTCCGGCGCGCGCTCTGTCGCCTGCCTCTGCCTGCTCACGTGCGCACCGACCCCCTGCGCACCTGGCGTTGGCACAACCTACTCGTCTCCTTCACCCACTCCATTGTATCAGGGATCTGGGCACTGTTGTGGTGAGTGAACAACCCGGGGTATTGAGATGTTCGTGGGATCTTTCGCGGGGTGCTCGGACTGTTCTCTCTGTTGCTATTCCCATCACTCACGGGTGAACAGACGCCAAGGATCTCACCTGATTCCCTGTTTGGAAAACTACCCAACCAAGAACGGCTGTGGGAAACCCGAGGTACCTGGGCTTCAGCCAAGCCCCTCCTCACTCTCCAGTCAGCCAATAGTGGGCGCCCTGAGTGCCCTGGGACTGGCAAGTGTTGGGGGAGGCGAGGGTCCTTCGGGAGGCTGCAACCGCGAGAATGTCCCTTTTCTTCTTTCCAGTTTATGGCAAACCCCTGAAATGCTGGTGGAGATTGAGACTGCGTGGTCACTGTCTGGTTATTTGCTTGTTTGCTTCTCTGCAGGTAGGTTATGCCCAAGGAGGCCGAGAGTAAGAGGTTGGAAGGCAGTTAAGTATTCAGTCTGTTCTTCTCTACCCTTCCACTAGGATACTTCATCCACGACACGATGGACATCGTGGTTAGTAAACAGACCCGAGCTTCTTGGGAATATCTTGTTCATCATGTCATGGTGAGACAACCCTTTGAACCAGGGAGGGAGGCCATCTTACTAACACCAGCAGGGTCCGACTTGCAGGTTGCCTAGGATTGTCAAGTGATTTTGCTCCCTATGGGACCAGAGTGCCTTGGTTCACCTAGGTAAACAGACTAGGAATGTCATGCAGAGCTAGATTCTAATGTACAAAGTCTAATCCTCGTGAACAAAAATTTTAAAACTTAGCTTTCTGCTTTGGCACCTTCCTCGGTGTTCTTCAATCAGCCCTTGTCCTGTCACTTGTCCCCTAGGCCATGGGTGCCTTCTTCTCTGGCATCTTTTGGAAAAGCTTTGTTGGTGGTGGCGTCTTAACACTACTGGTGGAAGTCAGCAACATCTTCCTCACCCTAAGGATGATGATGAAGATAAGCAACGCCCAGGATCTTCTCCTCTACCGGGTCAACAAGTATGTCAACTTGGTCATGTACTTTTTCTTCCGCCTGGCCCCTCAGGTCTACCTCACCAAGTTCTTCCTGCAGTATGCTGGCCAGAGGACCCTGGGAACATTTTTGTTGGTCATCTTGCTCATGCTGGACATGATGATCCTCATCTACTTTTCTCGACTCCTCCGCTCTGATTTCTGCCCTGAACGTACTCCCAGACGCCAACACAAAGACAAATTCTTGACGGAGTGAGAAAGGATAACCAGGACATGTGGCAGGGCTAGCAGCACAGCCAGCGGCTTTGTAACAAACTAGGGCTCTGCTTCAGGCCTGGGTGTATCCTGGGACCAGGCCTGGCACCTTGAGTCTGCACTCAAACTATTGAAAACACTAATGAAAGCTCTCCTGTGAAGTCCTTCTTGGGAAAGGGGTGAGGGAAGCAGACAAACCGGTCGGGAAAACCGGTAGGATGGGAGAGGACAAGACACTGTCCAAAAGCCAGTCAACCCACACCACCCTGAAATGGATGCTGACAACTCTAAAATTACCCCTCTGGTATTGGTTTCACAACAGCCAGCCTCTTACAGGGATAAGGGAAGGAACTCTTGTAAAGTCTGCTCTGAGCCTCTGATGGAGGCATGCTTCGGGACACTTGTCTGAAGTAATGAATACCTTTGGTATTTGAGCTCTAGCATGGGAGCTGAAACAGTGACATCATGGGCATATTTCAATGGAGAAAGTAGATTAAGAGTCTTTTAGAGGACGGGCGTTGATGGCACACGCCTTTAATCCCAGCATTCGGGAAGGCAGATCTCCGAGTTCAAGGCCAGCCTGGTCTACCGAGCTAGTTCCAGGACAGCCTCCAAAACAATAGAAACCCTGCCTCACAAAACCAAGAGTCTTTTTCAGAGCTGGGCAGTGGTGGCACACGCCTTTAATCTCTGGGAGGCAGAGGTGAATCTGCCTTGAGTTGGAGGAAAACCTGGCCTACAAAGGTATTACACAGAGAAACCCTGACTGTTTTTGTTCAAAGCTAGGAGACCACCCCCACCACCCAGTTTAGTGTACCTCATTATGGTCATGTCCCCAGCCCAACCAGAAAGTAACAAAAAGACAAGCAGAGTTATTTATGGTGAAAAAGTATATTTGGAATTAGCCAGCTGGACACAGTTTAGATGATCCCAATCTGCAAAACAAACAATAAAAGGAGCTGTGTTTGTGAAACGGAAAGGTTAAGTGAGATAGGGTGGCAATCGGGAAGGCAGGGCTTGCCTTGTTCAGGCACACTGGGTGCAGACACACCATCTACAAGAGTTGACTGAGGGGATGGGCGGGTGTGGCCCATCTTTAATCCCAGCACTCAGGAGGCAGAGGGATCCTCTAAAGCCAAAGAAGCCCTGCTAGGGGGCTGCTAGGAGTACTGGGTGTAGAGACACCACCTACAGAGTTGGACAGGATGCTTACTTTGTTGGCAACATCCAGAGCATCATAATCAGGAGCCAAGCGAACATATGCCTTCTTCTCTCCGTCAGGCCTAAGTGAAGAAGACAGTCTCAGTTGGATGCTCTTACAGCCCCAAGCCCTCCACACCCCCCTCCCTGTCCTCCCTCTGCTGCATCAGTGGTTCCTTTGTTGGTGTCATCCTTTTTCCAAACATTGAGTTTTCCATCATTTGCACAGAGGGGCCTGATAGCCACCATGAAACAAGGTGACAGTTAAATAAATCCACAGAATCTTTCTGCCTGGCCCCACTCACCTTATAAGGGTGTTGACTTTGGCAACATCAATGTCATAGAGCTTCTTCACAGCCTGTTTGATCTGGTGCTTGTTGGCCTTGACGTCCACAATGAACACAAGCGTGTTGTTGTCTTCTATCTTCTTCATGGCTGACTCAGTGGTCAGGGGGAATTTGATGATGGCATAGTGGTCAAGCCTAGCAGGGATGTGAAAAACAAAATGGAGTAGACTGCTCTGGGCACTGTATACGAGAGGGGCTGTACTTTTGGACCCCAGTCTAGGAAAGTGGAGGTGCATCAGACAGTAAAACAGCAATCATCTGTATCAGACTTTGGTCGCTAAACAGTGTCATCACATGCACCTGAACCCTAGGGGGTCCAAGCTCCCCATTTAGAGGTAAAACCTGTATGTTCTTTCCTCTTGAAGGGCCCTCACCCTTTGGAGTAACTACAGAATCATGCTTAATTCATACACATTCACCCACGTTATCAACATGATAGCACTTTACTATATGGCCAGATCCCAAAACAAAACAGCAAAAAAAAAAAAAAAAAAGAGCAGAGACAAACCTGCCCTTGGAGTTAAAGGTCGGCTATACTCTACTGGCCATTTTTTTTTCAGACAGGGCCCTACAACGTAGACAAGATGTCCTCAAATCCAAGAGCCACCAAGTTCACAGACACAGCTGATCCCATACATTCCAGGCTGAGTCGCCGAACACCAGTGAGATCCCCCTGACTCAACCTCCTAGCATTCACCATTACACAGGGTTATGTAGTGCAGACAACCCAGAGGTTTACAGAATAAACGACATTCCCAGCCAAAGAGCCAGTGGCTAGTATAAACTTTATGATGACTTGGACAGAAGACAACTTTTCCAAGTCAAACTTTACTCATTCAAATACTTTCCATTTGGGCCGGGCATTGGTGGCGCACGCCTTTAATCCCAGCACTCAGGAAGCAGAGGCAGGCGGATCTCTGTGAGTTCAAGGCCAGCCTGGTCTACAGAGCGAGTTCCAGGACAGCCTCCAAAACAGAGAAACCCTGTCTCGAAAAACCAAAAAATAAAAACAAATACTTTCCATTTGCTATTTGATAGAGTGCATCACTGCCCAATGGACATGAATTAATCAATCCACTCCCGTTCACATGTTCCTTCTGGCAAAGAGTGCCTGGACATTTGGAAGCAGACCTTCATACTGATCAAGTTCGTCAATAACACACAAAGATCTCAGGCTTCCAAAAAGAAGCACACTGGACAATTATGTTTTATGAGGCAAGCTATTGGGTGGGCAGTAAATTAGCAACCCTAATGCCTTACAACATAC